GAACTTTGTTCTGGAGATTGCGTAAAGTTTAGCTCTCTTGGCTATCATCCCCTGTTAAACTCTATACAGACGTCAAGCTACTTGTCGCTAAGTCTAAAAGTACCACTAAGACCTGAAAAGAGTGTAAAAGACTTTTTATTTGAACTTAAATAAAATGAGCAAAAGGCACGCTTGGTGTTTACAATTCCGCGCCAATATTTATGGCTAGCAACTCAAAATCAGTAAGTCGAACATAAAGATTAAATAAATTTAAATAGTCTAATAGCCAAAGGCTGCACAAAGCAGTTTACGCGAAGTTGGCTCAGAACTTCAACGGCGTAAATTTCAAGTATCGGCAATTATAATGCAAGACCGAAGACAGAAACTCTTACCTAGAGCAGCGAATCTAGTGACATGGCCAGTGGCCATGTCACTAGATTCAAACCTTACTTAAGTACACCTGAACAAATTTGCATTCTGGTGGGGAAAAAGGAAAGAGGAAGTAACAGTACAGATTCATAAAATAACTGGTTTTTCAAATTAATAAAACCTCACATATTTCCCTGCTAGAAATTAAGTAATCGCAACGAAGATCTTGGTAAGATCTTAAATTTTAACTAATCAAGAGCCAACTTTTTACAAGCAAGAAAATTTACAAACTAAGGTATGAAAACAAATATATCTCCACAAGACAGCTTCTTCATATTACATTTTAATAGTTACAGCAGCTTATTTCTTTCCAATCATTTGGGAGACTAGATATTTTAGCAACAAATCTAACACATTTTACATAATTTTTCCTTTTCATTTCAACTTTGTCAGAATCTTTCATACATTTTTCAGTTATTCTGCAATTACTTTTTAATTTCCTTTTACTCTCGAATACAGTGTACTGATATGTACTAGCATATGTCATTTGTACAAGTATTTAAACGCTACCATTCCACCGAAACCTAGACACTAGACCTCAAAAACGCCTTAAATTCGAAACTACACCTAATGTGCTTAAGTAGATCATCAGAGGCGTAGCTAGAGGGGGGTAAGGGGGGCATCTGTCCCCGGGCGCAGAATCCAAGGGGCGCCAAACTGATGTTACGACATTTTAGAATTAAATGTTTTCCATCCTTAGCAAGCAGTAGGGGGCGCGAAATCTTCAGTTGTCCCTGGGCTCTGAAAACCCTAGCTACGACTCTGTAGATCATTAAACTTTTGTGTTGGCTGGAGAGCCTAACTTTTAGTTACTACATGAATATTTCTAGCTTTTGCTTTAACTTATTTCATTTTACTTAGCTAGCTTACCCCTGCACATTTCATTCATGCATCAAGAATTCAACTTTTACAAATATGCCAGTACTTGCTTTTGCGTTAACACATTGATTTTTAGAACTTTTACAAAATAACTTATCAAACATATATCCTGGAACATTTGTACTACATTTACAATGAGAAAATTTTATTTACTTTCTATTCTTAGACTAAACTGAAATTATTCCGAATAAGTGCATAATTAATATCTTTAGTCTCTCTATTAATGCCCATCTATAGTCTCGCTAGTTATATCATACTACTATTAATGTCCATCTATAGTCTCGCTAGTTATATTATACTACTATTAATGTCCATATCTATAGTTTCGCTAGTTATATTATCTAAATAAATAAATGTACTTTTTTCCAAGGACAGGTCTTAATATCGTATCCATAGCACTCTGAAATGTAGAGGGAACACCACAAAAGATACACCGTATTCTTGAAAGAGCACAAGCGCCTGACTTTGTAATAAATGCGACTTTTTGCACATTCTCTGGTTTTACACATACTTGGAAATATCCCTACGTAAGATCTAGTGTCGTCGTATAATTCGTTAATTTAATTTTTCTAATTATTTCCTCGATTATGGGCAGTAGATACGCGGCATATTTAGTAATATTATTTAATTTTCGGTAATCAACCTAATTTTTTTTGGCAGAGATTATAAATTTTATCCAACGTTTCTCTCTTGTATAGAGCAAATATCACTAACTTACCAAAATTACAGCCGAAATAGAAAAATATATGAATATTTCTAAAAATTCTATACATTTATTTTGAAACTCTTATTATGAGTACATTAATTTAAATTTCATATTTTTTCATTCCATTACAACAAAGTTTTGAAACATGAATCTTAAACGTAATTGATATCCTCATAATTCCCTATAAATGGTTTTCTTGAGAAGATATCTTCTTATCTGCAACATAACTACTCGGACAATTAGAAAATGTTATCTGTTTTTACGTTTTTTTAGGCTGTACGCCACTGAATTTTCAAGTATTTCTTGAAGTCATATATTTACATAACGTTTAAAATACTCCAAATCAGATTTTACTGTCAGTTATTAGTTGATTTTATAAATTTGTTGTACATTTTGAAGATTTAACTTCAACAACATTACAACTTTAAATGAGAAGGTGGGAAAAGAAAAACGAATTTACGCGATTTTTTTCTGATACTTGTGTAATCACTGTTAGGTAACGAGAATTTAATTTAGTCCAAAGAAAGGGATGCTTATTATTAGAGGTAAAAGACAAACGTAATAACAACAAAGTATGTTATTAGATTATAGATTGAGTCCAAGAGCAGATTGGTCACTGCGATGCTAAGCAAGAGCATAAAAAACATTATAAATCGTCTAGTGCGACGTTAAAATCTGTATGCCTTCTGATTTTCTTCCTTTCTTTTTAAAAGGATATTTAATTTATAATATATCTTTGATAACTTTTTTTAACATTTGCAGCCTTATTAATTAATAAAAGACACTACTAACTCCAACAATATGCAATCGGTACATAATCTTTTGGTTTTTAAATTACTAATTAGATCTTAAATGGCCATTTTGCTTATATTATTTTTTCTTGACTAGCCACTTGCGCAATAAAATAATTATTTAAAAAAAGAAAAAGTTATATAATGATTTAATGCATCCAGTTAGCGGAATTTCACGGGTCTACATAGTAAGGTATAATAACTGAAATGAATCTATACGTTTATTGCTTTTAAATCGCTTAGTTTGTTGTTAAGTAATAACACAATGAATTTGAAAAAAAAAATCAGATATTGTCTTATGATATGCCGGACGACCAGACCACTGAGTGGAAGATAAAATCAATTTTAATTCGGGTAACGGTAATACTTTACTCTTAAATCGCTGAGTTTGTTGATTAAATTCGAAAAGCAAATGTGGTCGCTTTGCCACGTGGAAATCCACTTTTCTATATAACTGCGCTTTTTGATTGGAATTGAAACAGAAATAAATATCTTACGTTTTGCCAAGTGGTAACACAAAGCTTATATCGCTGAGTTTTTAATTACAATTTCCTTAAATTCGCAGAAACTACGAAATAAATACAAAATAAATTTAAAATTCAGGCTTCAAGGTGTCCATGTTCGAGTAGACGACTACTCGCATTCAAAACTTGGTGGCTCTAAGTAAATCTTTTTCCACCCTGCCAAGAAATATACATACATATATGCAGGACTTTTTCTGCTCTTCACTAACCGTTAACTAGTAGCCTTCTGGTAAGTGAAAGTTGAAATCGAGTTTTTGTAGCTAAAGCTATAATACTTCCAAGTGTCCAGATGATTAAAAAGTTAAGTTGTAATTGTTATCAGCGCTAGGCCATTTGTTGCAATTACACGCAAGCTTCAGTTTGTGATGTAATAAACACCTTGTTACGTACCAAAATAAAAATTTTATCTGTACATGTCAAGTTTTCTCTTAGTTTTCTGACTTTATAACAGCGATAACTCAGCTTGACATTCCTATATTATTAATTAGGCCATTAAGATGAATCAAGTTGATATCAAAACTTTTGAGTAAAAGCGCTTACTAGTTGTTTAAAGAATTTTATTGCATGACATTTTTAGTTAAATTTATATTTCAGCCGAACTGGGACACAAGTCATTTTAACCATTAGGTATTTAGAAGCAGGAAACAGGAAAAATCAGCTATATTATATTCTCTTCAGGATTCGAATTCCAAACCTTCGATTGGTAGCCGGACGTGCTTTCCAATTAACACCACGAAAGCCCTCGATAAGAATGGGGGAAAACCTTACAATATTAGTATCAACTATAAAATTTACTGTTTGGGATAATAAGAGCATATCAATGGCCGTTGAAGGCTGAAGAACAAAATAAATAAATTAAAATTAAAAAAATAGAAAAATTAATTAAAAATTGTGACGACTGACTATCCGAAAGGTGTCTACAAAGTGGAAGAATAGAGACTGCGGCTGCAGTTGCAGAAGATCTGGCTTCTCTAATGAAATCATTAAATTCACAAATGAAGCAAACTCTTGTAAGTACTTGTAAGTTTTGAGCTTCCGTTGAAAATGAGGTTGTCGAGAGAGTACAATAAATCTAGCTCATTATAGATAACCCTATAAAATAAACATTTTCACGAACCTTATTACATCCGATTGAGCTTATTTCGATTTTGTATTACGTTGAAAATCAATGCGTCAGATGGACATAATTATAGGCAAGAAATAAAAAGTAGACGAAATAATTTTTTTTAACTATGCATTTCTGTACGGATTTCGTGTCACGGCATCTCATGTTCAATAAAATGCCTTTTTTTATGCTTGCTGACTTTGGATCAGTGTATATATTCCCTTATTACTATGAAATTAATTGCCCTATATGGTTACTTTATTTGTATATTACGTACCAGCTAAAAAGAGCTAAAACCCAGCCATATTCAGTCAATCATATGTTTGGTACCTGTATAACTAAGGATATTTAGGCAATATAGATTTTGGAAATAAAACATTCCAAATGCTAATTGTGTACCTATGATGAGATATAACAAACAGATTAATGGACGTTTACTTAAGACAGCATTACCTGATTCACTAAATTCTTTTTCGAAAAAAAATGCTAACTAAACAAATTAAATTTTTAAAAATTAACAAACGTCTATTGTTTTATGAAAAAAATGGCAAAATATATGAATACATAAATAAATATCACTAAAGCGATTTTATATAAAAAATTGTTTTATTATACAAATATTTATAATGTATATGTACAGTGGACAGTCAACATTACATAAATAAGATATTGCATTTGATTCTAGAAATAACATTTTATGGCATTAGGTACGAAATTACAGGTCATTTTCCTTAGGCACGTCTGTGCTGCAAACCTGTATTAAAACTGTTTTAAGTACTTCATTACGAAATGCTTTTAATGAACATTGTTTCAACATTAAAACTTAAAAAATGACTCTTGAAAGATATTATAAGCAAAACAAATTTATGCACAGATTATAACTTTATGGAAAAGGAATAAGATCTTCATATAATCACGAAATGATAAATAGATTGCTTTAACATTTGCTTTTAGTTATGCAACACATGATTTGGGTGGGAGAAATTGTTTTTCACGGGTTTTGTATAAAACTAAAAAAATCTTCTTAATACCCTAATCTGTTTCTAAGAAAATAATAAGAAATACTTTTCTAAAATTCATCAAATATAATTATGTCAATGTACAGCAATAATAATAATAATAATCTATTTTCATTTGAGAAATTAATTTAGAACCAAAAACATGATATAGAATGTCACAGACTAACATAAAATTATAGTGACTGTCATTTCTCTCCACTATATTCCCATAGAAGCTGCTATAGCGCATTTATTATGGCGCGCCTCCTGAAAGTGTTCTTTCTCCAGACTAGTTAGCATATATTTATCTCTTATGTATCTCTTTAACGGTTTTGAATTTCTCTCTTTAAACTTTGTCTTTTCTCTAAAGATTATGAAAAATTTCAGGATGCTAGATTAAAATATCAGTAAGAGATAGGAACAGTTGTTATGTTATTTCAGACAAAAACTATCACACTTTGATGAACATGTAGGCTGCAGTAGGGATCATGCTAGGTTACTTAGAAGTATCTTAGCTTGCGAAGGTACTGTACCTTTAAGTATCCTCACATAGTCTTAAAGATGCTGATGTAGTATTCTGCATCGATTGTGTGCGCTTATGAAGTAAATTTCTGCGGAAAAATTTCATCTGTCGTCGCTGGAGAAACTGCATTAGCTTCTAAAGAGACTAAGTTGTAGAGAATGATAGCCACTAATATCTATGATCTGTCGAGTCAGAGATACCGAAAGATTTAATGAAACGACATATTACAATTCCCCTCCAAAAGCGCAAAACGTTTTACTGTATGTAACAGCTTACAAATAATAATACAACACTATTTAAGCACCTTGTTTCAATGCAAAAACAAAATTATTAAAATAATTACTGTCCATTGAAAACTGTCTACTAACATGGCACGTTTTAATAGCATGATCTTGAAACAAAATTCATTGATAGCTGCTTTAATTCTTCATAAATTTATACTTTTTCATAAACGAATAAATGCATTCTGCAATGAAACAGAGTTAGCTTAACAGCATTGAAAATGCACCGTTGAAATTCACGTTTCATATTAAAGAATTTTCTGCGTTCAATAAAAGTAAGAGAAAAAATTATGAATCAAATAGCTTGACGAATATCGCTAGATTGCCTTTTTTCCAACTGGAAAGAGCACAATTTTATAGCAAAGAAATACATTAGTAGACCTTTTAGTTTTCTTAGAAGAATAGAAGCAGTTATATGATTTTAAGTTTCATATTTCAGAAAAACTAGATTAATAAATGCTTAACCATTTCTAAGAAAAATGTACCAAAAAGTCTAAAAAGTTACCCATATTTGTATACCCCTCATTCTGAATAAAATGCATGGCCAATTGTTTTTTAAAGGAGATTAACTATAATTGTATAGTTTCAAAACATTTCGCATTGTGTACAGTATATATACAAAATCTGAAAAATGAATGTGTTATTTTAATGCTCATATCATAAATCTTGATTAGCCCGATATGTTTAGGCAGATTTCTGTAACTGGCTTTTAATGATATGACATTAAGCGTTGTTTGTTCTTGAGTTACAATGTCTTCACTTGCAAATATTCAAGCTATGTTTTCTTGCTAGATAGCTTGGTTCTTAAGATCATAGTACTGTTATTGTTAGATGAAACAATGGTGCTGTTATTACTGGATACAACAGATTGTACTTTTTTAGACTCTGAAGTATACTCGTCAACAGGAATTTCAACAACTTCAATTTCCAATCCATCTTTGCCATGGGAACCCAGTCTCTGTAATGTTTCCGGATCGAGGGATTTAATAGCATCTTCAATTGACTGTCCGTGTTTAATTTCAACTGCCAAGACAGGTTCTCTCCTATAACCATTCTCATCTGCCTGAGGACTCAGCACTTGAATATAAGTTGGTTCTTGTTGCCGATGGTTTGCATATTCATTTTTCGAAACATCTTGACCTTGAGAGTAACCTGACTGTTGATCAGACACTTCATAGCCTTTGTTCTGTGATTCATAGCTGTTTCCTTGGTAAACAGCTTGTTGGCTATATCCAGCTTGACCGCCTAAGGATTGATAACCGGATTGCTCATAACTATCACCACCACTTTTCGAGCTTTCGTCTTCAACTTGATATCCAGCTGCATTATGCTCAACTTCCTGAACACTATTCTGTTTCTCAATTTGGTATCCACCAGAGTTATGCCTTATGCTGGTCGAACTGTGCGATGGGTAAGACAGCTGTTGATTTCCAGCCGAATATTGTCCCTTTTTCGCGTAGTTGTTACTTTGTTGGTTGGACTTCTGAATTTCGTATTTATAATTCCCAGGAGACTGACTCTGTTCAGCTTGAGGCAAAGATACAATAAGCTGTAACTCTTCTCCTTTGGGCTTCAGTAAATCTCCAATGGGGAAATATTTTAAAAGATTCTGAGAGTCTTTACTATCAATTACTTGTAACTTGGACAACAAATTTTGTATTTCTTCTTCACTAAGTTTGATTAACTCAGCTTCGATTTCAGGTTGCTGATGCTGGATGTAATTGGACTTTTGATGTTGGGAAGCGGCATATGGACCTCGAAGTTGATCTGCTTGATAAGAAAACTGAGGAGGAAAGCTTACTTTCTGCTGAGTTTTCTGACCTCCTAATTTGTACTGGATTTGAACAGGACGGCTTTCTCTCTGACCATAGTAAGGTGCACGATTTTCTGAAGATTTCGATACTCCATATGTAACAGTCGGAGGAACTGGAACTTCTACTACTTGGATATTTTTTATGCCAAGGATATCGTCAATAGCAGGAATAGGTTGCGGCAATTTTATTGGAGCGACTTCTATTTCTTTAGGGATGACTTGAGGAACAACAGATTTGATTTTGGGAACGGATAAGTACTCGAACTGAACTGCTGGTTGAGAAGGAATACGGTTCTGTGGAATCCTACCATAACTAACTTTATTCCTTTGGGCATTCCTTATCCTATTATACCTATTACTTTGTCTGCCATGATTGAAACTATTTTGTTGCAACTCTTGCAAAGATATTTGAATAATTTCCACAGGTTTTCCATGTTGGACAGGCAAGTTCAACTGAGACAAAGGTAAATCTTTTGTTTGTAATATTACATCTTGTAGGCCTCTTAGATGATTCCTGCTTAATTTTTGCAGATCAATAAACTGAGGTAAATTATTTGAAATAATCCGAGCTCCTTGCTTTTGTGGTGGTTGTTGTTGAGGTTTGTATCTCTCCATATAAACAGGCGTGTTCCTCTTGGGCTTCGGCCGAATGGCTGGTCTAGGATAGTAACTATAGATATCTTTATGGTAATTTGTGGGAAGAGCGTGGGTGTAGAAGCTGGATGATGTGTCTAAGCTCTCCGGTAGAGCAGATATTAAGTCGTGGTATTTTCCTGTAGCAGACCCATGAAGATACGCATTTCCAGGTCTCACGGGCCTCCATCCTCCGAAGAAGAGAAAGCTATTATCTTGACGCTTTTCAGCTCTGTGATTCTTAACGGCATCATCGCTGACAACACATGTCCAGAGCAGAGCAAAGTATATGCAGCAGAGCTGAAGGAAAAAGAAAGAATTTTAGATTAAGAAGCACAGAGCACTGTATAAATGTTACAAAATACTGTCATAATTTTAATTTTTGAATCTAATAGTGATAAAAGTAAAATGTCCTGAACTGAATGAAATATATACATTTTTTAAGAAGCTATTTCAGTATAATTGGTTTACATTAAAACTTCAGCACCTATGTTTACACCGAATTAAATATTTTGAAATATTCTGTGGCCTAAAATTTTGCATTGCTGAGGAAAATAATTCTACGCACAACCTGGGTCAAATTTAGCTATTTTTAAGAATATTTTATTTTCTTACAGGAGTTTTATCAGATGTTGCTGCTTCACCAGTAGTAATTTCTTATAATATGCTTTCTAGATGCATTTTAAATTTCAAAGATTCAAAATGGGAAAAATCGTGAAGTAACTCTCAAAATCAAGAAAATAGGATAAAAGTGATTAATTTACAATAATGTAATCGAATGTTTCAAAATTAGAAGAAATAATTATTCCAGGGATGGTCAAATAGCGGCCCAGCGAAATCCACCTTGAACCGAAATTTCCTTCCCGTGCGCCACCGAAGATTCATATCGTATTTTATTATTACGCATGCGCAGTTTAGATAGGATGTGCAATGCTTTTCCGGTTGATCTGGTTAATTTCAGTTTTGCTTTTGCAACAGTAAATATATGAATTTCCAACTTTAGTAAAACCATGAACCGTCCGACAACACGTAAAATCGATGATGAATATCGTGTGCTTAATGACGAATGTACAAACAAATATTTATCTGGTAATACAGGTAATAAAGCAGTGTGTTTACGGTGTCATGAAACAATAGCTGCATTTAAGGACTACAATCTAAAACCACACCACGAAATAATAAATAAAGCGAAATTAGTACAATGAATAAATTGAATAAAGCTGCCACTATTTAATTTAATTTATATTTATTAATTTTTATTGTAGGGTTTACACCTTATCTGAAATCCGAAGTTAACTAGTGAATGCAATCATTTTAAAAAGTGCGGCCCTCCGCTTCCACAAAGTGGCCCACGAGCTGAAACAATTGCCCACCCCTGAATTATTCTGTAACAAGGCATTTCATAGTTTAACATAATTCATTTGCAGAAGAACCGATCACAATTCACTTAAGCAATTTTTCATAAGTTCCAAAATGTAGTTTATGAATTTTTCAGATGTCAAGAAATTTCCTGCCTTTTTTAATTCTTCCAATGTAGAGTAAATAAAATAAATTTCTTTATATTAAAGTTCAATAGGCGAGAATGTAATATTTTTAAATTTTACGAGCTAGCAATTTTAACTATCAGTTTATCATATTTACTAGTAGGAAGTGTTACAATCATCTGTAAATGTGGTTAAATCGCAATATATGAAATATTATTAAACTCACCAAGATAATTAGAGATTTTGCATTAAAACTGGTGATTATATAATAACCGAACTAATTACTTTTCTGTAATGTGTATATAAAGTATAAAATCTCATTATCACAATACAGTAATTGAAATGCAACCATTGAAATGCTAGTTAAACAGCATGTGATCATTTGCAAAAAATATGACATTATATTTAAAGAATTCACTCCAACAGTGCAGGATTTAAAAAGATTTATGCATAAAAAAGTTTACGAGATTTCTTTCCATATTATTCAATGTTCTTTAGTTTCAGAAATGATTTTTAAAAGAATTTAAAAAACCTTTCTAATGCGATTGGATTTTGAATATCGTAAACAGGGATCTCATATCAAGCTTTTATATCAGGACCCATGAAAGATCTTGGACAAGATCTTGGATCCAAGACAATCCAAGACCCAGGATCCAATCGTGGGACTCAAGGTCCAAGACCTTGTCTTGGGTCTTGGATTCTGCAGGTGAATCCTAGTATCGTATTATTACGCTCTTTCAAACCATCTCATATCTATTGCGCAAACTGACTCCATATTTATTTCGTTTTAGATTTCTTATTCACTGCTGCTTTCATTTCATTCACAAATTTGCGGTTACAATGTTATTAATCTGAGAAGTTATTCAACTACAGAGAAAAGATTACGCTCACTCCCTTTCTACAATTGAAGATTGATGCAGATGAAGATTTCTACAATTGAAGATGATTGTAGCAGATTGAATGGCAACACTAGCGAGAAAACTGTTTTCTAAACTGGCTTGTTATTTAAGAAGTACGTTTAACGGCAATAACCTCTTATGCAAATCGAGATATATTAGAAATACGATCTTCTTACTCATGCTTATCATCAGCTAATGGTTAGAATTTGATGCGAGTACACAACCACTTATTGGTAGTTATTTTGACCTGGGAAACAAGAAAACTCGATTAAGCTACCAAGCCCTAGGTCACGCCCGATTTGAAGCATTTCATCGCGGTGGAGCTGAACTTTTCCTTTCTTTTATGAAGACCTGAGATCCCACGTTCAAAATAGGGAGGACAGAGAGGTGTATCTTCGATTTTACAACAAAAAGGCGAGCAGATGCAAGGAAGAGGTTAACGTTGGTAATCGCTTGACTTCCTTTTTCCTCTTTGTGTGGGTTAGCTGGAGTCACTCGGACACACCTCAAGGGTATGGTTATAAATCATGGACGACCTATACGGAGGTGCGCTAGCGGATGAGCGTGGAAGGGTTGCGGAGGAAAATATTTTTAAGTGTTTCTCTTCGCTGGGAATAAAAGATGAGGCATATTGCATCGTAAAAATTAATCGCTCCCAGATGTTTTTCGTTTCAGCATTTTCCTCTTCTTGTTTGTTATTATTCTGTTTATGATTCAAAGGGAAAGAAGATAACGGTGGAAAGACATACCTTGATTGCTTAGGTGCAATCAAGAAATGCCATTACTATAAATTTCATTGCAATTCATTCAGCTGTTTGGAAATAAAGAAAAAATTATATAAAAAATACTTTAAGATTAAATTTATACACACACATATATGTATAAACACCTTGCAGGGGGGATACCATCTTTCAGGCATCTTCATAGAGGCTTTGGACTCCTTTCTTAAAAGTTCACCTTTACGATATTTTTTAATTCTCTCGTTACGTTCTACTAAATTTCTCAAACGCTAAGAGAATGCTCTGTATGATGAGACTTCACTCACGGGAATAGTAAGAAGTTTACAGGTGCCAAATCAGCCGACTAAGGGAGGGATAAGAACAATTACACTTTTCTTCGCGATGAATTGTTTAATGGTAATACTGAATGAAATGACATTGTCACGTAAAAAAAAATCCATTCCGATATTATTCTATTAACGGTTACAGAAAGTGGTATTTATTGCTTGTTCTTTAGGTACAAATTCCTTATGAATTACAGTCTGCCAATTAAAGAAGGATCATGAAAGTGTTTAAAGCTTCCGAAACGAAGTTTCTGGAGACAATTTTCTGCTGTCCATACAGATGACTGTCCTTTTATTTTTCATAAGAGGAAACAAAATCATCACTAGTTAGGATAGATTTGAGGAAACTGCGATTATTATTCTCTAATTTAATAAAAACTATACTGCTTCTTGTTGTTCAGTATTTGAATCCGAGACAATACATATATTGTCTTGAATTCAAACTGTCTTGTATAGGCTGCATATTTCCATATAAAGTTTTCTCTGCAAATTTGAAAGAAAACAAGTTAATGAGGATTAGTAATCATAGCTATCAATTATGATTTGGCAGCTTCGTTGGACTGATTTAAAAAATTCATTTGGACTGGTTGAAAGAAGATATTGTGTATATCATTTACTGTAGGAAAAAAAAGGAATAACTAGATTTTGATTTAAAGGAATGATTTATATATTTAATTATTTTGGTTTCTTTGAAAGAAAACGAATTATTTACAGCAAAATCTTAGTACAGGTCAGACAATAGTCAATTAGATAAAATTGTTGAACACTGGCACATTGTTTCGGGCTTAAATCTCCAGCTGATTGAACATTTTCGTGCTTTTACCAATGTGTAACATGAGAACGAGCAATTTTTTCTTAGAATTTCCTCCACGAAAGCATCTCTTCCTTTAGGTTGGTTTGGTTTATTTGACTATGGCAAAACACTTGAGGGCTTTTTGACTACGAGGAAGGATGCCTTCATGGAGAACTTTCTGAGGGAAATTGGCTCGTACACGTTACATGCACGAAAACGCACATGCAGCCAACCCGTTTGCGGAATTCGAACCTCGAACCGGACTACCAGTGTTCAACGACTTTTACTGGTGAGCTGCCGATGGCCCCCTTCGTTTAGGAAGACAGTCTTCGTTTGCTTTATGTCAGTCAGTTAATCGACTAGCCTTCCTAAGATGACTACCAACAGTTCCAAACGATTTGGGTATTATGTATAGGATGATTATTATACGAAATTTCCTCGTATTCGGTCTTCGTTTACTTTAACAGTTTTGTTCTGGTTATAATATTAAAGTTTTCTAATTTAGGCAGACGCTATAAAAATAACCACAGTTTAATATTTATTTTGCGCTTATATCAATTAAAAAATCTCAACGCAGTTAAAGAGCTAGGTCTATCCTCTTCAGAAGAATAAAATAATTGTTTGATTAATGGGAAATATAATGACTAGTTACCAAGGAGAGAAATATATATACACACATATATAGGTGTGTGTGTGTGTAAGATAAAAAATATGTAAATCAAAATTATACTTTAAACTAGAAATAAACCCGTAATTCCTCATTTCTATTCTAATGATGGTAATGCCTTTTCTGAACTGCCTCATTTCTAGATCAATCCATCTCTTATGACTTGTGTAATGTTGATGACGTAGCTAATTCGGAAATTTGAACTCAGAATTTTGAGAACTAAAACTTACGATGCGTATTGGCAAGAACAGAGGTGAAGTAGAAAAAAATAGCCGAGAAGACTTGGAAAACTTCTCAGTTAAAAAGTTCCAGCAAAAAAGTGAGCAGAAACGTTTTTCACCAAATTGTCAGTTTTCAAGTTATATATACGATGGAGCTTTCAGTATTTTTCGGG